AGTGTGCCTTTGACTCAGTTAACTGACATTATTCTCAATAAGCACTTCAATTCTTGGGAGCAGTTGGCTAAAGTTATCTTGTCTGATACCGAACGTCTTCTCCTCTTTATTCACAACTTTCTCCTTGTATCTCTTCAGACAAAACCGGAAGGAACTTCAAGAGAATTTATGCTCGTACAGCCAGAAAAACAAAAAGCCTCTACCATACTAACATATTTAGGAAGGGTTTTGTATGACGATAGAGTCAGATGTCAGAAAAGAACTTATAAGCTTTTTAAATCAGTAATCTGAACTGCGAAATATATTATTATTATATTATTGTATCCTTTAATTCCTAGAGGAACATAGGGCTTCAGCCGTGCGTCTCCATTGCGTTCGGTTCTCTGCTAGAGTCTGCTCACACGTTTTCATCTCCTCTTCACATGACCTCCTCCAAGTCACCCTTGCACTGACGACCAACTCGCCGCTTCCCTTTCGGGTTCCACTCGAACGAGGGCTTGTCTCGTGATGTCACTCACTTGATGCTTTCCTCAGAGTGTGGCTAATCCATCTCCATTTCTTCCTGCGTATTTGTTTCACAATCGGTTCCTGCTGTGTTGGTTCGCTCATTGCCAGAGATCTCTGTTGCTGATCCTTTCTGGCTGGCCATCTGATCTTGAGCGAAGACAACTGTTAATGAAGGTCTGTAGTTTGTTTGAGATGCTCTTTATGACGTGAAATATAAGCAAAGATTATTAGTATTACATGTGTTATCTATCATACGATTCACTTCATTATGCTTCCAACAACATTCCGTTTATAATGGTTTCATTATTATTGTTACTATTTTAAATTTTATGTATGTAAATGTTTGTAAGAAGGAGTTAATTTGTTGATGGTGACTAGTAGTGGGATCTAGGATGCGCACTTCATCCTATATTTACTAATAACATTGTATTTCCATACAGATTTCCACCGGTTCCTGTCCATTCAACACAATTATATACTGACTAGTCATTTTTTTACACTTATTACATCGTCCCAACTTCAACCCATTTTCTTATTTTCATTCAGTCATCCCCTTCTACATTACACCTTGCATTGTGTAATATGTTTCCGAGGACAAATTTTACCAGTACCGGATTGGTCTTATGATTTCCTTGCTAAATATGATAATTACGATAGTACAGCTTATGTGAAAATGAATCGTTGAGAAGAAAACTTTCTTCGCTGTTTACATCTTTTTCTTATGACTCAATAAGAGAATATTCTATTCGTTAAAGAACTCTAAGATGAATCAACCAGCCAGTGTAGCAGTATTTCATTCTACTTCACTCATGTAACTGAATTTCAAATGTGACCATCTAGCGTCCTATCTTCCGTGTTAAGTGGTATAATAAGGTGAACAATATTGAGGTTAGGCGTCGAGTGCTAAATAAGGAGGGGAAATCAATCGACGAAACTGTGAAATTACATCGACTGAGATGGTTAGGACATGTGTTACGTATGCCTAGTCATCGCCTTCCTCGATGGGCAATATTACCTGACATAGGGCCAGGCTGGAAAAGAGCTAGTGGCGGTCAAACGAAAACATGGCAGCATGAGTCAATGAAATCCACAACAGTTAGTTTAAGCCATGCAGGAAGGTGTACACTTCTTAACTGGTTGGGACTCTCGGGACGGTGAAATCCAATGGCTGGAAACAATTGGTGACATGGCTCAAAATCGTTCTCAATGGCTGGCTGGCGCAGATGCATCCACTCCTTGTGACTTATAATTTCCAATGAAGCTATATTGTTCTTCGTTATTACTATTCCTTTGTTTCACACTTCTGTTTACTGTCTATATTATGCAGTTCTCCTACTTTCGTCTCTTGCTTTGTGTGCTTCATGGAGTGTAGCGACTTGAACTGCCGCACATCGGTGAAAAGCTCTATGTCGAAAACAGACAGACAGAGTTAGGCCAGTTATGAGAGTAGTACACAGATGGAGTAATTTGACTAAACAGCAGTTAGCCGACGACTGTTCATCAGCAGAAATAGCATTTAAAGGTCTGGTATGCGATAATCATGCGCAGACTAGGAGGCGCCTTGAAGACATAAACTTCACAGGCTCTAGGCCAGCAAAAGGGTGCATTGTTCATATCTTCACCCTCCGACAGATTCTGGTACTATGGCAATGTTTAGTTGTGAAGGAAGTACTGAGAAAATATGTCACACTAACTGCGGCACTCTACTCGAATTCACGCAGCTTGTCGTCTGTAATGCTGACAACCAGTGGTGTGTCAGTCAGGGCTCCCCACTGTCCCCAATTTTTGTTTAATTTCATCAAAGATTAACCTTAGGGATTGATCCAAACTGATTTCAGAGACTTATGGATTAACTCCTTACCAAAGGGAAGTTTTGAAGACTGAAAGAATGTGGACGATAGTGTCTTCCTAGGTGAAGACGCTGGTCAAATTCAGACTCTTCTCAACACGTTGAGGAGCATGAATCTTCGAATGTTTGGTACAAAATTTGTTCCTGTTAAATCCAAGATGATTCTGCATGACTCGACAGCGTCGATTTCTAACTTAAAGATAAAAAATGAAGTGGATAAGTGTTTTGACGACTTCACTTATTTGAGAAGTCGCATCAGCCTCAATGGACCGACTGCTGACGAAATATCAACAGGCATAGAGACGGCTTGTGTGGTATTTCACAACTTGCCTCATCTCTCACATAGATGTGATATCCGAAAAGGCTTGCGATCAAAGGACGTAGGTGCTGTGCAGCAGCAGTTCGCTCTGTCCTCCTTTATGGCTGGCTGTGAGAAATGAAAAGAGGCTAGTTGCCTTTGATCATAGGTGTCTGCTTTCTATTACCTTTGTTAAGCGGTGAGCAAAATTCAAGCTAGACGTAGACTGATGACGTTGTAAAGCTACAACGATTGAGATAGCTACGACACGTATTGTGCTTTCCACGCCACTGGCCTTCCTCAACGAGCAATGTGTCAGCTGACAGTGGATTTAGTTGGAATGCAGTTATGAGTGATCATACCGAAACCTATCATCAATCCCCGAATGCCTATTTCCCAGTTAGTGTGAGCCAGTCACGTAGAAAGATGTAAATTGCTTAGTTGAGTTCATTGAGAGGGGGGGGGAGATTTTAAGAACCAATGACTGGAGACTATTTGTCAGCTCGTCACTCCATTAGTAAAAAGGCATCTGAATACATGCGAAAAATGGTCAAAAACCATACTCTCCGACCCCCAACACCCTCTCTATTCCCAACTATCGCCTTGTATCTCACCAAGTAGAACCCGAAATCAGTATAAAATAATATATGTTCGTACAACCAAGTACAGGAATTCAACGATACCATACTTCGCCCGTGTTCTAAGTGACAGACAATGTTAAGTGCGAAACCTATGACTTGCTTTGTTGTTAATAACATCATTTTAGGCTCTTTAATTTCTCTCTTATTTTGTATTCTGTAGTGAACTGCTTCTCAAACATACTTAGCTACCTAAATTAATAACATTGGCTTACTTTCTTGTACTTTACTGTATTCCTTCTTTTGTGTATCTACTGGTTCCGACTATATTAGCACTGAGTATTACAAAATTGTCCTGTCATTAACCATCACGTAATTATTAGTTTTGTGGTTGTTGTTTTTTTTCGTTCGGCAATATTAACTGACAATCTTGGTTGTGAACGCCATTATCACCATCTTAAAATTTTGTTTTATTCAGGATTACTCACATTAACGCTACAAACACTGCATTAGACCTAACAATAAAAAACAACCCTGAAATGTTATTTTATGATTGTTTAGAGTTGTTTCAACCAAATTAACTGATCATCTTGGCGATAAACATTCTTAAATATCATTTCATAATTTCTTGTATGACTATAGCTTTAATGTCACCATGCAAAATCATATCATAGCTTCCACTACCCAATACTGAGATATTATTTTATGTTATTTATTTTCCTTTCTACTTTTTGGTATTTTTTAAATTATTTTGTGTTTTTCCTGTTTTTTTGCTGTTGGTGTCTTTATATTTATTTTTCTTGAAATACTCCTTTTAAATGTTTGATAAAATTAGATGCAAATATTGTAGATATGTGCTGAAAATTCCACAGAGTACCACTAGTACTGTTTCTCGAATAAAGCAAATTATTATTATAATTGATATGACTCAAACCCCTTTCGTCAATGGTCCAAGTGCATTCACTCTCTGCGTGACCTCGTCTATATTCACTAAACCCTTCTGTTTCTCCATGTTACTATTATGTCTCTCGTCTCCCCTCCACCCCACGATCAACAGCTATGCTGCTGCTGGTTGCTGGATTCAACACAGAACTTGGCACCGAAGTGCAGCAGTTCGAGTTGCCACGTTCCAAAGAGCACACAAAGGTAGACAGGAAAATGAGAGAAGAGAATCAATAGAGTTTTGACAAGTATAAGAGTGAAACAGAATGAGTATTGGAACTAATGTTCCTGCAGGTCTTACCATGCCAGAAAGGTTGTTTGGATAGCGGTTAGACTAAAAGCAGTTACCCAATTCAATCCTATGACTTCAAACAAATCACAAAATATCATGCCGGATCGGTCGGGGCCCGGATTAACAACGACCGCGCTTTCTGCTGCCGTGTCACAGGGCAGAAGTGATAAATACGCTGCTGAGACACACCAAATAAAAAAAAACAGGCCGTGTGTGACCGGCCTTAAGCAGTTGTCCCCTGGGCTCTGCGGTCACGCAACCAACTTCCACGGTGTGGGCAGCCGGGAAGTAACAACCGCCCTCACTACCCGAAGAGCACGCGAAACCTCTCTAATCCTCACTCATCTTTGTATCCACCTTCATCTCTATTATCTTGCCTCCTTTCTACCAATGCAACTCCTCTACTTGTTGGCTCTTCACTTCCTCTTCACTCTGTGTGCACTAATAACGGTGGAAGCCAAAAAGCCACCATCGATAGTCTCCTAAAGCCACGATCAACAGCTATACATAAAATACATTTTAAGGTCAAACAGATGAAACCATGTGATGAATATATATTTCTCCTTTTCTTCACGGAAAGGAACAGAAGGCTTTGGACAAGAGAATAGTAATAATAATAATAATAATAATAATAACAGTGATCACAATGAAGACAAATCCAATCAATCAACTTTCTGAAGTACAAGCAGAGAGATATACAAATAAATCCATAAACACACACACAAATGCACATATGCACACACGAGTGCTCGCCCTCAAAACAAAAGAAGAAACAGTTTACATAGAGAAACCTAGAAATGAGTACGTTTCAACCATTCTTCCAATAGTTCCACAAAAAGGTAAGAACTGAACCGGTTACGTCATATGTATGTATATATATGCATATTGTGTAGGCAATAAATATTATTGCTTAACCGTGTGCTTCACCCTTCTTACCAGAGACCTGAAAAAAAACAATTGAACAAAAAATTTGAATTGGAAACATTTATTTCCTGACACGAATTTAGTTAGAAAGCAGGATTTAATGAATTCGTCAACAAATTTCGGCAGAACTCTTCGCCAGTTGCATTAATCTACATACAAGGATCTTAAGTTCACGCAATAGAACGCTGAGCAAAAATGATACCTATAAACCTATAGATGTTTCTCTAATGAAAAAGGCGAGGACGCTGATAAAATAGAGCAGAGTCTTCTGAACACCTTGAGTAGCAATCTACGAATGTTTGGCATGCGATTCGCCCCTGTAAAATGTAAGATGATGTTACTGGAATGGACTACACTGACCCCTAGATTAGAAATAGGGAGTGAAGTGGTAGAGCACTTTGACCGCTTCACTTATTTGGGAAGTACCATCAGCCCCAACGGGTTGATCTCAGACGAAATATCAGCACGAATACAGAGGGCTACTTTCGCATATGCCAGTTTACGCCGTCTCTGGCGTAGACGTGATATCCCACTATCGACCAAAGGGCGTGTGTACTTCTCAACAGTCCGCTCCGCCCTCCTTGATGGTTGTGAGACCTGGTCATTGAGAGTTGAAGACATGAAAAGATTAGCTGTCTTCGATCATAGGTGTCTGCGTTTCATCTCCCGTGTGTGTTAAGTAGTATAATAAGGTGAGCAATATCGAGGTTAGGCCATCGGTCGAGTGCTAGGTAAGGCGGGGAAATCAATCGATGAGACTGTGAAATTACATCGACTGAGATGGTTAGGACATGTGTTACGTATGAGTGCCTAGTCATCGCCTTCCTCGACAATGGGCAATATTACCTGACATAGGGCCAGGCTGGAAAAGAGCCAGCGGCGCCAGTCAATGAAATCTACAACAGTTTGTCTAAGCCGCGTAGGAAACTGTAGACTGCTTGGTTGGGGTCCTCGGGACAGTAAAAACCAATGGCTGGAAACAATTGGTGACATGGCTCAAAATCGTTTTCAGTGGATGACACAGATGCATCCACTCCTTGTGCCTTATGATTTCCAATGAAATTGTTTTGTTCTTCGTTATTACTATACCTTTGTCTCACACCTCTGTTTACTGTCTATATTATGAATTTCTCCTTACTTTCTTCTCTTGCTTTGTGTACTACATGGAGTGTGGCGACTTGAACTTCCGCACATATGTGCAAATTCTATGTCGAATACAGACAGACAGACAATGGAAAGATCTACATTCAGAAAGTCTTTATGGACGACGGGACAGTGTACATACATTTTAAAAGTTTTGCTTCAATAAAATATAAAAAGAACTTAGTCAGAACACTGTTCAATAGGGCACAAAAAAGTGTTCTGATTGTACAACTGAACACGAAATGCAGGCTCTGAAGGATATTTTATCTAAGAATCGATATCCTGAGAAGTTCATCAATTTGCCGTTCAAAGGAGATGATGTATACAAGAAGTAGTCAAACGAAGACTTGACAAAGTTATCAAGAGAACTTATTGTACCTCAAAACTCGTCCTCCTTAACACCACCAACCAGGTGCTTCAACAATCTGGGAAAGACTAGATTATCGCCAATCCTCGACACTTCAAACTGCATCTATCAATTTGATGAGTGTGTTTGTGGAAGCAAATATACATAGGTCGTACAGAAAGGCGATTGTCTGATTGCATGATGAAATGCACTTGCCAAAGTGGTTGAAGCCCAGCTAGAATCAAAGCACCACAAAGTTCAATAACAAAGCATCTTCTGTGGATATCACGGGCATGATATTCACGCTGTCAAGCGATTCACTGTTATTGTTAGCAGACAAATAAACAGGAAGACGACGCTTGAGATTGTGGAGGCTTGTGTAGTTAGAGTGTATAAACCAGGTCTCTGTGGACAAAACGAGGTGGCGGTCACTCTGAATCTTGTTTACTTAAGTAGTGTAATTGAACCGCGATGCATTTGTATCCTAATTTCATATCCTTAAATGTAAAGTATTCAGCTGTGGAAGAAATCTACTGAAATTTGAAATCAACTTCACTAAATCCTGTTTTATTCAAAACATTTGCTGCTTGTTTTAAGAAATTGAATCTCAGAAAGTCAAATTAGATAAAATATTAGACAATGCACTAAAGAATTAAGAATCAATACTGTTCTCCTACTGGGTTACTTTTGTGGCTGTGAACGGATGGTAAAGTGTTGTTGGTTCTTTTTTTAAATCGGATTTAATCACAGACGAATTTAAGGACGGTGGAGACAGTTTGCCGTCTGCGTTAACTAAGGTATGAGGCACCGTCGGGGAATCAGGGATAGTCCTGTCGGGCTGGTGTAAGTCAGTCATTATGCTAACATACAAGAAGGGAGACAAGTCTTGCTGCGATAATCACAGGGGGATTAGCTGGACTAATATCGTATCTGAAGTTCTAGGCTCAGTAATCATGCGTAGACTAAGTGGTACTCGGGAGGAACACACACGAGAGAATCAGACAGGCTTTAGACCAAGAAGAGGGTGTATTGATCATACCTTCACCCTGAGATAGATTCTGGAACACAGGCGTACTCACCACCAGCGCCCAACAATCATCATATTTCTTGACCTGAAAGCGGCATTCCAGTACTATTGCGATGCTTGGCTGTAAAGGGAATGCCGAGAAAATACATTGCACTGATTAAGGCATTCTACTCGAACTTATGCAGCCAGGTGAGAGCTTACGGCGAGTTGTCATCTGAAGTGGTGACAACTAGCGGTGTCCGACAGGGATGCCACCTATCCCCATTTCTATTCAATTTCATCATAGATGTACTAATGGACTTTACCCTGACTCACTTCAGAGACTCAGGGATTGACTTGTTATCAGGGTATAATCTCATTGACTTAGAATATACAGATAGTGATATAGTCCTTCTAGGTGAAGACGCTGACAAAATGTAAAGTCTTCTGAACACCTTGAGCTGCAATAACTCGAATGTTCGGCATGCGATTCGCTCCCGCCAAATGTAAGATGATGCTACAGGACTGGACTACACTGATTCCTAGCTTAAAGATAGGGAGTAAAGTGATAGAGTGTGTTGACTACGCCAACGCCAACGGCTTGATCGCAGACGAAATCTCATGATGGATACAACCTGCATCATATCTGATGCAGGAATGATATCCGGCTGGCCATCGACTAAACGACGTGGGTACTGCTCAGCAGTTCACTCCATCCTCCGTTATTACTGTGAGACATGGCCATTGAAAGTAGAAGACATGAAAAGGCTAGCCAACTGTCTCCATTCTGCCTCCCGCGTTAAGTAATAAAATACGGTGAGATATATTGAGTTGCTAAGGCATCTTTCGAGTGCTAGATAAAGGATGGAAAATGAATCGATAAAGCTGTGAAGTTACCATCGAATGAGATGGTTAGGACATATGTTACGCATGCCTAGCCATCGCATTCCCAGACGGGCAGTGTTATCTGACATAGGATCGATTAGGTCGGGAAAGGGCTAGTGATGGTCAAACCAAAACATCACATCAGCCAACGACATCCATAACAGCTGGTTTAAGCCAGCCACTTAGGAATGCAGAAATCTGCCAGTGTAGCTGAGGCCCCCAGGATGGTAAGAATCAATAAAGGCTGGAGACAATTGGTGATATGACTGGCTTAAAATCGTTCTCAATGGCTGGTGCGCATACATTCACTCTTAGTAATTTGTCATATTCAATAAAAGTACTCTATTGTTTTTCCATATTACCACTATTCTTTTTCCTCACTCACACTTCTTTCTATTATCTCTCTTTACTCTCTTTTGTTTTGTGTGCTACATATTGGGAGAGTGGCAGGTCGAACTGATGCACTTCTGTGCCAAGTTCTATGTTGAAACCAGTTAGTCATTTTTTTATAAAAATCAACGGGGACCAGTTAAACCTTATACACCAGTAACTACCAATCAGCGAACGACGTCGAATTATCCAATGAGATTCACGACCGTAGTTCAATGTTGTATAGCGCTTGATTCATTTCAAATGCGTGCCCCTACAAGGTTACGTTTGCAATTCGAGGAGGATAGTGTCCTTCAGTATTGCCTGGACTTAGGCTTGCTTCGAAAGGAGAGAAGTTGTTCGTGTGGTGGTGTGATGACTCTAGAAAGCTATACTAGGTCAACTGATGGATTTGTCCATCGTTGTGGAATATGCTGGAAGCGAGTTAGTATTAGAAAGGGTAAGCTGTTAATTTTAATATTTCGTAAGAACCTTTTTTGCTAGGTCGCATCTCCCCCTAACCCAGATTTTGTATATCTGCAACTACTGGGTATTGAAACAGCCGGTGAGAGCCGCAGCTGCCGAGACAGAGAACAGCGTCGTCTCCACAGTTCAGTGGTACCAGCACTGTAGAGACATCGCTTCATGGAAAATGGAGAGAATTTCTTTGTTGTTAGACGGGGACGACGTAGTAGTCCATGTGGATGAGACAGTGTTGGTGAAGAAGAAATATAACCGTGGTCGTCAGAGAGCGAACAAAGTTTGGGTCATAGGTTTATACGACACGTCCCTCCGAAAAGGATTTGTTGAAAGAATAGCAGACAGGAAGGCGACTACTCTGATACCTATTATAACGCGACTTGTGAAACGGGGATCAATTGTACATACCGACGAGTGGAAAGGTTACAATTCATTGTCATCCCTGGGATACATTCATCATAGAGTGAGCCACTCCAGTGATTTCGTGGATCCAGTTACAGGGACTCATACAAATTCAATTGAAGGATTTTGGGGTCGATTGAAAAAAATAGGATCTCAAAAGGATCTCATTTATAGTCATTTAGATGAATATATGTATAGAATGTGGTGTGACTTCTCTATTGACAGTCCCATGCTGAATTGGGAGATGTTTCTGTCCCATGTTCGGGAAAGATATCTATTCTATCCGTTTCATCCTTTTTTTATGCCTTTTTCTATAAATATACGTTTCCACTTATCATAAACGCCTCTTTCGTGTGATTGGTCCGCTCAAGGTCGTTTGCTGATTGGTTGTTACTGGTGTCGAAAGTTTAACTTTGCTATGAACGGCTTCCTCCTTTAGCTTATTTCTACAGGCATCTATAGGCATACCAAAAACTTACCCTTTTAAATTCATTCATATTTATAGTGTTCACTGGATAACCAAAGAATCTAAGCTTATCAATTCGTGTTTGATCGGTTGACGATTGATTGTTTTTCACAAAAAGCTGTAATAACAAAATTGTTAGAAGAAAAAAAGAAAAAGAAGAGGATAGACAATAGAAGAAACAAACAAAGTGAGTGAGTAGTCATCATAAATATCACACACACGTGTTGAATAAACAACGTAGAGAATGGCGACCATGGAGTGTGAATGCACACACACCAACGGACCTTAGACGCATATCATTCGGTGGATAATCACAGAAAACCTGTCGTCATTACAGTATGAACACTGTGTACGAAATGATGTGTAAATTTCAGTCTGAACACCTTTTTAAGTACCGCTTGAACAATCAATCAGTTGATAGCACGTTAGGTTTAAGGTTAAGGTAAGGATTAGAGTTTTTTATTATTCCCTCGCCCCCACCCTCCGTCTTTATCCGGACTTAGGACCGGCTAAAAAACTAGCGAGCTAGCAATCTAGGCGAGGTGTCAAGTTATCCACAAGGGAAAACTCAGCGAGGCGTTTGGAGTAAACACAGGAGTCAGACAAGGGTGCTTATTATCACCAATGATATTCCTAATTGTGGTGGACTGGATTATGCGTCAGACAGTGCGAAACGAGAAGACAGGGATATCCTGGACCGACGTGAAGAACCTAGAAGACCTGGATTTCGCGTGTGGATGATTTGTGTTTGATGTCACACAAAATCGAAGACTTACAGGCGAAAACCGACAAACTGGTCGAAGAAGCAGCCAGAGAAGACAGGACTCCAGGTGAACATAGACAAGTCGGAGGTTATGAAAATAACCAATCAACAACAACAACAACAACAACATCCAGCACCAATCACCATCAACGGAAGGGATTTGAAAGAGGTTACTTCATTCACTTATATAGGGAGCATTGTCTCAACTACAGGAGGAACGGACGAAGATGTCAAATCGAGAATCGGAAAGGCGAGAAACACATTCATCCAACTGAAACCAGTCTGGAAATCTTCGTCATTCAGCATCAACAATAAGATTCAGATTTTCAAAACAAACGTCAAGTCAGTCGGTTCTTCTATACGGATTAGAAACTTGGAGGGTCACAAAGAATATTTCCAACAGCTTGTTGCACACCTTTATCAACAACTGTCTTCGCTGGCTCTATACTGAAGATCAGATGGCCGCCGGAAAGAATCACCAACAAGAAACTATGGGAACGAAAAAAACAAGAACCAAACGCTCAACAAATATGCAGGAGAACGTGGAGATGGATTGGACACTCGATGAGGAGGCCGCTGGGTGACATCGCGCGTCAGGCCATTGCTCGAGTGGAACCCGAAAGGTAAGCGGCGTGAAATGGAGGAGATCGTGTGAAGAGGAGTTGAAACAGCGTGGATTAACATGGATGCAGGTGAAAAGTACAGCAGAAGACAGAAGCAAGTGGAGACGTGCAGTTGAAGCCCTATGTTCCACTAGGAACTCAAGGGAACAATAATAATAATTATTATTATTCTCAGTATTTTCCTTGGAAATAAATATATTGAGGGGGGTGGGTGAAGCTTTCGTTGTTTATATAGGAGAAACAATCATTTCGAAAGCTATGAAACTTGAAAACTGATACCCATCTTTGATTGGACACTAGTTAGTCAGTAGGATCATGCGTCTAACCCTTTGTTTACTGAAGACTGAATTCTGTCAGTCAAGTTTGCAATGTGTCCATCATGTCGGGTGGCTTGCCAACATGGTGCACTGTGAATTATCGTTATTAGATGGTTGGAGGCAATCGGCCACAGGAAGCCTTCCACCTAGGTTTCGTACCTGGTGGCACTCATCAGTCAGTAAGCCATATTTACAACCTTGAAGGGACTCCTGTCCCTCCTGAGATCCAAACGTCTCTGATTGCAGAACTTGGTGACACGAGTCCGAAATTTCAGGAGGGAGATGAGTCCCTTCAAGATTGTAGACACACCTTATTGACTGACGAATGGCAACAAGCACGAAACCTGGGTAGAAGGCTTCCTGCCGATTGCCTCCAACCATCTAATAACAAGTGATACCCTTCATTGTGATAGGGAACTATTTTTCCGTTACTTGTCAGGGTAAAATATCGTCTATAATGTGTTTCAATATTATTATTATTATGTTAATTTTTCCCGTAAATAAACGGGTGTGTTGATGTAAAATACACGGTAGGTTCTGTGATTATCCAATGAATGATATGCGTTCAAGTTCACTGGTGCGTTCGCACTTTGTGGTTGCTATTCTTTAAGTGTACCGTGTACAGCCTTAAAAAAATAGAGTGGAGGTTACAACGATTTAGTGTGATTAGTGAACCAAGAATATTTTCCCCCATAACTTCTTCATCAGCTCCTACAGTTACATATGTCCATAATGATAAAAGAACCCCGGTGGGTGCGTACTACCAAAGAGTTCCAAACTAGGCTGACGAAGCAGCTGTCCAGTACTCCCAAATTTTCTAATGGTTCCCTAACTTATGTCAGCTCATTCCGATAACCAATCAATAAAATCCCTGCAAACCAACACTTGAATACCAATCTGATGATCACTAGATAGTGACCCTATTCAGGTAGGTAGTTACCTAGAGTTCCAGTAGGAGGTCGTGACCAGTAGGATACAACAGGTTGAGCGTGAGGACAAATACCGGCCAGCGATAACATTCGCTGGTGGTAGCACCATACCACATGAATTGGCGGAAGTTGGAATTCAAGCACTGGCCATTGGATGGGGTCCCAGTGGCGCAATGGTCTACCAGCTCGCCTTTCTAACCATAAGGTCCTGGGGTTCGAACCCTTGCGGTGGGTGCGTAGTATTGAAGAGTCCCAAAGTAGGGGGACGAAACAGCTGCCCACTACTCCCAGATTTTCCAATGGTTGTCTAACCGATGTCAGCTTATGATGAAATCCTGGAACAAATCGGTCAAATCTCTAAAAACCACACAATTATTGTCATAATATACAAAAATACGACACTAAAACTGAATATTACGTAAATTAAGAAACACAATACAGGACATGTAGGTCCCGCAGAAGACCAGAGGTTACTGATAGTAACTGGAATTGTTCTTATTTTTACGGAGAGCTCCAGTTGCCTCAGGAGAACCGCAATACCCTGCTCTGCTATGTGTGGTGTATCTACTAGGTAGAGGGGGTTTTGACAATATTCATTTGGTACCCAAGAGATGAGATGATTCACTAAAACTAGTTTTATGGGGTCTATTGGGACGAGGCGGTGTAACTCTAAACCTCAATGAAGCAATGAATCGCACACACTTCTCTTCATTGTCTTACAATCTAATGTGATCGATGTGGACAAGGGAACATGTCATCGGTACTGATATACAAAAACTGATAGAATTTGAGCGGATATCTTTTACAGGATAATTCTGTTGTGACACACTATTCAAACGAAGAAAAATGCGCTAAAATATAAATCCTAAATGGTAAATAACGATTTTTTCTTATTCCTTCACGTTCTCAGTGTAACACAGGGCTTCAAGCCTCTCACTTGAAGTTTCTGTAGCAGTATTTATTTTCTCTTTACCAGCTTTCATTTCTGGTTTAGCGAGGTAAAGGAGTGCGTCAGACGGGGATCGAACCTCGGACCATGTGCATGGTCGGTGAGCGTCCTAACAGCTGTGCCACCGACACACTACAAATAACGATTAATAAAATAAATAAATAAAAATAAAAAAATAAATCGCTATTATAAATAACGATTCCTTCATCCTAATCAGATAAAAAGAAGTACAAATTACGCATTCTTGGATCATTTATTGTACAGATACACACACGCATAATGAAAAATCAGTGTAAACCCCTTGAATGAAAATGCATTTATCTACAAGTGTGGGTGGTGGTCTACAGGGATTTCATTTATTTCAAACTATTGAGAAACCAAAATGTACTGGATAGCTGTTTCGTCTTCGTTTGGGACTCTTCATCAACACGCATCCATGACCCCCCCCCTCACCAAGAGTCGAACTCAGGGCCTTCAAGTCACAGAGGGAAGCCTCAAACTACAGTCAGTTAGCGATAATACCTGAAAAAAGCATCAGTTCCTGTTGCCAAACATCACAACGGCACACACTATTTTAGTAACACTATGATACTTCAAGTTATGCATATGTGAGTAATAGGAGACAGAACATCAAAGCAAAGATTAGCAAAAGATTATTTAGAATTTTCAATTTGATAAGTGAATACGTCTCAGTTATACCTTATCAGACAAATTAAATTCACTAATCTGTGCATTGCCTACACCAACATCCAGAGACATAACATAAATTGGTATGGTGTTTCGGTTTGACTAATAACCACGTTTTGTACTACGTAATTCCACTGTGTATGCTGGCAGTTCAATGGTAGTATGCTTACCACCAACCAAGCACATGGTCAGGTTCCGATCCCCAGCCGACGCATTCCTGAGCCTAGTCTAGTTTACTAGTCGACAGCATATCTAGGAAAGATGAAATGTTGAGCATAAGGCTATGTGGCTCCTGTGGAGTGTGTCAGTTACATAGGCTGTACAATTAGGAGTGTTTCTCGTCGGATTTCCGAACATCATCCTGCGTGGTTGGTTAAGTAAAGGACAAACAATATCCATTCAAAGCTGCACTATTTCCTCTCAACTTGTGGATACAGAACACAAGATTGATGTTAACGAGGTGGCTTTCAAAGTCATTTACAGCATATCAACAAATTTCAACTTCGCCTTAAGAGTTCGACTACTACATATTGCTAAGGCCGTTGGGATCCACACTAAGAAGCCTAACTTATGTATCCAAAAGAAGAAGTTGGTTGAGACAATATCTTTACCATGGCCATCTAGGTTCTTATGATCCTCAATTTTTTGTAGAAATTTCCTTAATTTCGCTCGATATTATATATTATATTTGCTACTAAACTTTTATGCTTATTACGATTCATGCATCTTTCGTGGACAGTAGTTCCACTTAACAAATCGATATTATTTAAAAATATTCTATGTATATAAACATAGGAAATTATCGAAAAAGATATTCTTTGCTCAATTATTTTGTTTGTTTTTTTTTTCTAGATGTTTGAATGAATATTTTCGCTATATAGAAGAGATAGAAGTGTTCATTCCTCAAATTTGAATTTAGTTTAAATTGTGGGCATGAAATAATCTCATTGGACAACTTGTTTAACCTTGAGCCAATGGCTAGCCAATCAAAACAATTTATTTTCTTGTGACTTTAGTGTAACTTTAATGTAACTATGAATGTATAAATATGTTGTGATTTCTTTTCCTTAATAAAGGTTCGTTACCAAGTCTGCAATATTCCACGGTATAAACGCAGGGGAGAGGATACAGGTACACTGAAGTGATGAGTCCCAAATGCGAGGAACTACACGTTCTACACTCTACTGTAAGCTACTATCAATCAATAAAATAAAGAAGCCTTATTGATTGACAACTTAACCAATGAAAACTTACTGTTATAGTGTTGACATTTTGGAATTTTACAAAATTCAATTGAGTTACTCCACCCTCTTTAATATCATCCTCTGTTAACCTTGAAGGATTAAAAACACAAGAAGAAGAGAAAAAAGTGTAGTTCCACAACTAATCAATAAATAATCAGTTAATTTCATATATATATATACGATAATGGAAACTACAACTTCGTTGTCCGACATAAGCCAGTGGTGGTCTAAGCTAAATCGACTTATGTTAAATCCCGCTAAGTGGCAGACAGTTAAACTCACCGTCACGCATAAACATGATCTACACAAACTTGTTCATTCACATTCTTTCATCCCCTCTTCACATGACCTCCTCCATGTCACCCTAAGAAGACCAACTTGCCGCTTCCCATTCGGGTTCCACTGGAGTGATGGCCTGTCGTATGATGTCACTCACTTGATGGTTTTCTTAGAGTATGGCCACCAATCCAACTCTATATCTTCCTGCATATTTGTTGCACAATTGGTTCCTGCTGGGTTTGTTCATTTATTGCCAGAGATCTCTGTTGCTGATGTTTTCTGGTCGGCCATCTGATCTCGAGTGAAGTATTGAACGAAGACAGCTGTTGATGAAGATAAGTAGTTTGTTCGAAGTACCCTTCGCGACGCGGCGCCAAGTCCCTGATCCGTATAGTGAGTAGCACTGACTTCACATTGCAGTTGGAAATTCAGATCGTAGGTTTCATGCTGAGCGCTGCTGATCTCCACAGATTTACTTGCTTTCCCAATCCTCGCTTTGATATCCTTGTCAGTCCCGTCCACATGTAGTTGGAACGATGCTTCCCAGGTAGGTGGGGAGGTAAAGGAGGCTGCTACTTACAGATTTCTCCCATATATGCTGATTGTTGTTTGTTGTTGTTGCTATTGGTCAGAAATCTTCATCACTTACCTCTGTCTTCTATATGTTCACCTGAAGGCCTGTCTTCTCTGGATGCTTCATCTATCGGCAACTTGCTGTTTTTCACTTGCATATCTTCCAGTTTGTGGGAAATCATACATATATCACATCGGCGAAGTCCAGATCCTCCAAGTATTTTGTGTGGGTCCACTTTATGCCTGTCTTCTCGTTGCCCCCTGTGTGTCTGTCGCATTAACCAATCTACCGCAATCAGGTTGTCATCAGTACGGTGAGTAGTATGCCACTAAGTCAGCCTGCTCGTTACTACTGTAGTCAATACACACCTGAACTCTTGTAATAAATGGTCTGGCTAAATCCATATTGTCTGACTGTCGACAACACCCTCTCTATTCATAACTCTCCCCTTCCTGTTGAATCTCATCAAGTAGGACTATAGAGGTCATTATAAAAGATTATACGCTCCCTTGCACACAACTAAGTACAAAAACTCAACGATAGCATATTTGCCCTACCAATGTTCTATGTGATACAGAAAGTGTTAAGCAAGAAACCTACAATTTAATATGTTATTCACAAAATAAATGGCTCTCTGGTCTTCTTCTATCTTTAATTTATGATGATTATATTTTAATTATTTTAAGCTTTAGTACATTTTCGAATTTACTGTCACTGCTAATACCAAAAAAGCTACTTTTATCACTTTTGGTTACCTACTTAAGATGGTTAAAGGCAATCGGCAGGAAGCCCCTCCTGACCTAGGTTTCAAACTAGTTGGCACTCACTGATCAGCAAGGCATATCTGCAGTCACCTTGAAGGAACTCATGTCTCTTCTGAGATTCGAACCCGCGTCACCCAGTGCTGCCTGCAGTCAGAGACGTTACCAATGAGCTATTCGGGCTCGCGATTGACCTCCTGTAGGACTATAGTGGGTATATTTTGATTGGACACTAGTAACTAGTGCGACGTGTCTAGTCCTTTCTTTGGTGCAGACTGAATTCTATCAGTCAGGTTTGCAATGTGGCCACCATTCTAGGTAGCTCGCCATCACGGTGCACATTGATTCGATAATATTAGATTAATCGCCAGTCCGAATAGCTCAGTGGTAATGTCTCTGACTGCAGCTCTCACTGGGTGACGTGGGTTCGAATCTCAGAAGGGACATGAGTTCCTTCAAGGTAGTTGCAGATACGCCTTGCTGACTATTGGTGAGTGCCAACTAGCACGAAACCTAGGTCAGGAGAGGCTTCCTTTGGCCGATTGCCTCCAACTATCCAATATCATCAAATCAATGTGCACCGTGATGGCGAGCTGCCTAGAATGGTGACCACATTGCAAACCTGACTGATAGAATTCAGTCTGCACCAAGAAGGGACTAGACATGTCACACTAGTTACTAGAGTCCAATCAAATTGGTTACCTATACCGTCTAATGTTTTGTTTGTCGTACCAAATACTGAGAATTCCACACAGGTGCTGTTTTGGAATAAAGCAAACAATTACTGTTTCATGTTCTCTACTATCATGCGTATATTCATCTTTTTCTCATGTGCTCACTAAGGTAAACTTTGAATGAAACAAAGCCACGAAATCATCGTTGACAAAGCTTCAGGAATACTGTCAATACTGTCAAGCTTACACACACACACCTCAGATACATATCTCATTAGTATTGATGTAGTTTCGCTCTGTGAACTAGATGAGCGGGAGAGAGACAGGGAGAGAGAACTTGGCAGCCACGTAGTCTGCTGTTCGAATCCATGCCGCCACACTCCTCAACCAACTCGTTTAGCCAATAGTAAGTTCGGTAAAGAGAGGAGGTTGAGTGTTACACTAGCAAACCTACATCACAACTAATTAATCTTCAAAGCTCAAGTTTGGAAGCCTACATCACCTACTCGGATATCAAAAGATTGGAAAAAAGTGGTGATACGGTCTTCAACTACTTATATCAATCGATGAGTAGTATGTTTGAACCATCATAAAAACTCTACCACTTCTTAAGAAAATTAAATGAATAAAGTTGTATTGAGCAAAAGAATTAAAACAACAACAGCAACAAAATAGACCTACTCTAATGTTTGTACAGCTTCACCAGCTTCACAACTATCAAAATCTGGTGTTGATATTTGATTGATAAAAAGTTTTACTAATTTTGGAGCATTTTCTAAAATAAATTTCACAAAAAAGAAAAAAAAAGAAAAACTGACATCAATCCGTGGTGGTCAAATTTGAAACAAATTTAATCTCTACAAATTAACCTGTCTATAGGACGAAGTCAGTTGCCTGGAGGAGTTCATGTAAGAAGATGCTGCCAATTAGTGGGCTCAATCCGGCTGGATGGTGCCAGTCGCGTTAAAAATCGCGAATAGCTTGGTCATTGATTAGGACCTCAGTGGCTGAGAACGGTCTAAGAGCTTGTCTTGCCTTATAACCGGAAGCTCCGGGGTTTGAACCGCGAAGATGGATGCGTACTGCGTACTCATAAGTCCCAAACTAGGACGAAACAACTGTTCATCAGTACTCCCTGATGGTTTTCCATTGTTCGCTCTCTATCTCTCTCTAATTGATTTCAATCCTTAGTCAAACTAGAAACAAATCAAATCCCTTCAAATTTCATTATAAATTTTACATAAGAAAATTACAGTGGTTAACACCTAGAATACATACTCGTTATTATACCTGAAAGTATTAAGGCGGACATTGTGTTAACCTGCTGAGAAAACCAACATGAACACAGGCGTGTGTACTGCTCAGCAGTCCGCTCCGTCCTGCTTTATGGCTGTGAGACCTGGCCATTGAGAGCAGAAGACATGAAAAGATTAGCTGTCTTCGATCATAGGTGTCTGCGTTTCATCTCCCGCGTGAAGTGGTATAATAAGGTGAGTAATATTGAGGTTAGGCGTCGAGTGCTAGGTAGGTGGGAGGGGAAATCAATCGACGAGGCTATAAAGTTACATAGATTGAGATGGCTAGGTCACGTGCTGCGCATGCCTAACCATCGCCTCCCCCTACCGACGGGCATTACTAGCTGATATAGGTGCAGGTTGGAAAGGAGTAAGTGGTGGCCAAACAAAAACATGGCCTCATCAATCCATGAAATTCTTGACAGTTAAACTGAGTCAGGTAGGGAGGGAGATGAAGACTTCCGGGTTGGGGCCAGCCCTCGGGACTCTAAGAATCAATGGCTGGAGACAATAGGTGACATGGCTCAAAATCGTTGTCAATGGCTTACGCAGATGTATTCAGTCTCTTGTGTAATCTTTCATATTCCTTTCTACCATTACTCATTCTGCTTCACTCTTATACTTGTCAAAACTCTATTGATTCTCTTCATTCATCTTCGTGTCTACCTTTGTGTGCTATTTGGAACGTGACAACTCGAACTGCTGCACTTCGGTGCCAAGTTCTATGTTGAATCCAGAGAGATAGAGAGACATCAACACAAGAGTGAAATGAGAATTCGGTTACTCCCCTTCTGATATTTTAGTGGCACCTTTCTTTTAGCCGATATCAATTTGATACCATCAGTTCTGAATGTTAATGTTGCTTACGTTTCAACAAGCATATTACAATCATCAAACCTGTAACCACCTGCCAAATCCCTGCAAACCAATAATTGGTGATAACTCTGATGTTCACTGGTGATTGGCTATATACAAGAAGTTACTTGGAGTTCTAGTGAGAAGTCATAATCGGCGGCATCTACCAAGTCAGGTAAGAGATCAGTTACTCGCCTATGAGACCAGCTGGTAGTGACACCATATTGTGCCGTGAATTGGCAGAAGTTGGAATTCGTGGGCTATTTGGATCGGATCTCAGTACCTGAGTGGTTTATGGGGTTTACTTTATAACCGGAAGGTTCCGGGTTCGAATCCTAGTGGGTGAAATCAATTCGTGAACAACCTTGAAATCAATGCCCACAAACAGGTGAACACTTGGAAAGATAAGATATGTGTGTTGGGTCAGATTAGACAAACACACACACACCATTTTCAACTAATGTGAAGTACATTTTATCCACTAGGATAGTTTGATCACAGCTTCTGCATATATTATACACACTTTTTTCAAGGGGACTTAGCTATGGTACTAGATTGTAAAATAAAACGAATGGAAAAAGGTAAACTGTACACACTAGCGTTTATAAAAAGCCAAAGCATTCCGCTAACAGATGTCTAGAATTTAATTCATCTCATCCATCATTATCTGTCGAGGCAGGCGTAGTTAAGTGTCTAAAAAACCGTACAATAACAACACTAAGTAGTACAAAAACGACCTAAATGATGAAATAAAACAGATAGAAGAAGAGGTGTTGGTATCAAATAACTGTCCCATAAAATCCATTAGGAAGATCAGAAAAGGTCAAAAGCAAAATAAAAATAATGGGGAAACTAATAATGATAACTAATAAACCAATAACCAAATTGACTTCATCTCAATCTCAAGGAAGTGGAGGCGCAGCCTACTGGACACAAAAGTAAGAAGAGGAGCAGACGTTGGTTCAGACCACTATCTCGTACAAGGGACAATCCAAATCAAATTAAAAGCTTTCAGGGAAACAGGAGCTGCAGATAGACCATAAGCCAAGTTAAACACTCAAAAACTAAAGGACCAGGATACAAAGGATATCTTTACTGCAAGCATAAAGGACAAAGCTGAGACACAAATCAACACTGGCGAAGAGGTCAGCGTCGAAAAGCACTGGAACAACTTGAAGACAGTGTGGAGTCAAACCTACATGGAAGTTCTAGGCAGAAAGAAGAGACAGGACAAACCGTGGCTCACTACGGACACTTGGAGGCTAACAGAAGAGAGAAGGATGGTGAAACAAAAGATTCTCCAGTGCACCGACGAGCAACAGAAACAGGAGTTGAATGCAAGCTACAATACACTGAACAAAGGAGTAAAGAAGAGTGCCAGAGAAGACAAAAGAAAGTATTATGAAGCCATGGCGAATGAAGCAGAACAAGCTGCAGGCAAAGGAGATCTCGCAACACTCTACCAAACAACTAGGTACCTATCGGGCAAAAGTTTGACACAAATTAAGCCGATGAAGGATGACAATGGAAAGTCACTCACCAAAAAAGTAGAGCAAAGGTAACACTGGGCTGAACACTTCAAAAGACTCCTAAATAGACCACCACCTACAACGCACCCAACAATACCAACAACGGAGACAGAGCTACTAGTGAACACCAACCCCCTGACGAAATCAGAAGTCCTGAAGGCAATCAAGATGCTAAAAGCTGGAAAAGCAGCAGGACCAGATGGAATCCCAGCAAAAGCGTTGAAAATGGACCCAGGGACAACAGCGGACTTGATGACGCCATTACTGGAGAAGGTATGGAAAGAGGGCAAGGTACCCGAGGATTGGAAGAAAGGATACTTATTCAAACTGCCAAAGAAAGGAGACCTAAGTCAATGCAAGAACTGGCGCGGAATTATGCCCCTGTCCATCCCAAGCAAAATACTTAGCCGCATCATCCTGGAGAGAATCAAACATGCCCTGGATGAAAAACTTCCACCGGAACAGGCTGGATTCAGGAGAAACAAGTCATGTATTGATCAAATCGCCACATTACGGATCATCATTGAACAAAGCTTGGAATGGCAGTCAGCTCTCTATCTCAACTTCATCGACTTTAAAAAGGCCTTCGACAGCGTCGATCGAGAGGTGATTTAGCAACTACTTCGCTACTACGGGTTGCCACCGACAATTATACATCTCATCCAACAGCTGTAAGACAATGCTGCATGCCAAGTAATCCACAACGGGAAACTTACGTAATCCTTCGAAGTGAAGACGGAAGTAAGACAAGGCTGCCTACTATAGCCAATGATTTTCCTGATTGCAGCAGTTTTACCATATAAGGAGGGGACATCTGAGGCCCTCCGTAGGATTCTAAATAAAGGAGGAATTAGGGTGGCATTCAAACCTACAAACCCCTTTAGGCAGGAACAAGATCTGTAGGCTGAAGGAACCTGTAGGTTGACCCAATTAGACAAAACAATATAATTCACAAAATACCTTGCAATGACTGTGAGTTAAGTTAACTACATAGGTCAAACTAGTAGTTCGGAGAGGGGGGTAGTCAGATTGTCGGAACATAAGAATTTAGCTAAGTTTAGAATGTTTGACCCCGAGAAGATAAGTAATTTAGGAAAAAAACTCAGCAATTGCACTGTATGCATTATCACAGAACCATACAATAGGACAGGAGATGGTTAAAATTCTAAAAAGTAATCTAGGTAGGTGGAGTGAGAGGTTGATTAGTGAATCCTTGTTCATCCAATCTACACCCAACACATGCAACAGAAATGACTCAATGCAAATACCAGAAATATGGAAGATATTACTACCAATCAAATCAAGCGATGAAAAATAATGGTATTATATAAACAAAGTTCGAAAGTTGTGTGAGTAGTGTCTTGATATGATTATGAGCAGCAATAAAATTATGCTCGAAATGTGGTCACTACCAAATACTACTGTATAACACGCTGTGTGACTTTATCAGAATAAATCTTTCTCCATAATGGAATTATACTCTATCACAGTGCCCAAGTTTTATCTTTGTATCTCTAATCTAATTATTCATTCTTCCGGATGGCGTTGAGATCTAGAAAACTCCAAATAATAATGACGACAGATCAGTCTAACAAGGTAATCTAGATAAATTCATTGAACGTTCCAACCTCTACAGCTTCCAGATTAATTCCAGAAAAAAAACGCGGTAATGCACCTAGACCAGAAATCCTAGACTTCGTAATTCCAAAGGGGATACAAAACTGCCTGATATTAAGGGATAAAAGGATTTAGAAATTATTGCAAGCCACAATTTGAAAACAACTGTACATTGTAATGGCGTTACAGCTACGGCATTTCAAATGCTATGAACACTTTGAGGGGGCTTTTTAAACATTTAGATGAGTCTAAGTTTTTGAAGTACTAATCTAGAATAGTGTAGTACACAAGCAACTAGTCCATGCTTTAGGAAGAAGACACGAATATCAGAAAAAGCACAAACTTCAGGAACTAAATTAGTCAGTGGTATCTCCCACCTTTCTCGTGAGAAGAGGCCAAAACATTTAAAACTTATTATTATTATCATATCGAAAGAGTAGAGGTGACTAAATTTCCGCCTACTGTATATTACAGGGCAAATTGGGTGGTGATCTTTCTTACTTTTCCTCTCTCCATCTACGAAAGATGATACCCAGCTATCGACTAAAGGACGTGTGTACTGCTCAGCTGTAGTTTGCTCCGTTCTCCTTTATGGCTGAAACATGCCCATTGAAAGTGGGAGATACGAAAAGGCTAGGTATCTGTCATCAAAGGTGTCTGCACTATATCTCCAATGTTAAGTAGCATAATAGGATGAGAAGCATTGAGATTCGGTGTCTAGTGGTAAGTAAGAATATGTCTAACGCATGACTAACCATCGCCTTTCTAGACGGGAAATGTTAGCTGATATAAGATGGATCAGGTCTGAAAAAATCTCTAGTGGTGGCCAAATCGAAACATGTAATCAGTCCATGAAATCCATAATAGTTAGTTCAAATTAGTCACGTAGGCAGGTATAGTCTGTCTGCCTACCTGGTTGGGTTCCTCAGAATAGTGGATACCAATGAAGGCTGGAGACAACTGGTGATATAACTGGCTCAAAATAGTTCTCAATGATGCGAAGATTCATGCACTCTTCGTGAGTTATCATAGCCAATCAAAGTACTCTATTGTTCCTCCGTATTACTATTCTTTTTCCTTCACTCACACTTCTCTTTATTATCTCTCTTTCGGTAAATTTCTCTTTATTCTATTCTCTTGCTTTGTGTGCTACATTGAGGGAGAATGGCAACTTGGATTGGTGCACATCTGTGCAAAGTTCTATGTTGAAACCAATCAGTCAGTCAGTCAATGAGGCTGTCTGAACCTTTATTTATGGAGGGGAAATATTATGATATTCTACTTCACTCAAATCTCGATATTCTTCTCTAACGATAATAATAATAATAATAATAATAATAATAATAATAATAATAATAATAATAATAATAATAATAATGGTAATATCAATAATAACAGCGTTAATAATAACCAAACATGTACCTTTAGGTCCGTTGATCTGCACCGCTTGAACTCGAACGAATTGAGAGAATGTAACATATATAATAAGCTGTAAACAAGGTAGAAATATAGACACTAAAGAAGACCATCAGTTTATTTTTATTTAATCTATTCTGAATACAAAACTAAAATTATATTATTACTGTTCCTTTGTGCGTCGGTGGTATATAAGGGTTAGGACGCTCGCCGACCATGCACATGGTCCGGGGTTAATCCCCGTCCACCGACTCACTCCTTTACCTCACTGAGCCAGAAATAATGCTGGTGAAGAGGAAAAGTTTGGCATGAAGCTAGCAACCCCATCCTGTAAAATAAACACTGCTACAGAAACTTCAAGCCACTACCTTGAAGCCTTATGTTCCACTGGAGAACGTGAAGGAAAAAAACTGTTCCTTTAGGTTCTAAGTGGAAAATAGAGCTTCAACAACGTCTCCACTTTGTTCCATTTCCTGGTGTCCTCTTCAACTGAACCCACAATTTCTCATAATCTCTTATCTCCTCCTCCCCAGACGATCGTTTCCATGTCATCCTCGCACTGACGACCCAGTCATCATTTCTCATTGAGATTCCACTCAAGTGATGGTCTGCATTGAGCGCGATGTCATTCGACGGTCTTCTCAGTGTATGCCGGATCCATCTTCTACATATTTGTTGAGCGATCGGCTATTGGTTGGTTTGTTGCCAGCCTGAGTTCCTTGTTGCTAATTCGTTCTAGCCGGCCAGCCATTTGATCTTCACTATGGAGCCAGCGAGGCAGGCAGCTTTCGATAAAAGTCTTCAGCAGCTTTTCGTGACGCACACACCACATAGAAGAATCGATTGACTTAACTAACATTGATGTTGAAAATCCGAATCTTTTTCTTTATCGTGAGCGTAGAAGATTTTCAAATCGATTTCAAATTGATGAAGGTGTACGTTACTGGATTTGACATCTTAATCCGTTACAATTGTGGTTGAAACCACGTTTTTTACATAAGTGAAGGAAGTAACTTCTGTCAAATCCCTCCCGTTGATGGTGATTGATGCTGGTTGTTGTTGCTGTTCGCTAGTTATCTTCATCACCTCCGTCTTCTCAATATCCAGCTGGATTTCTGTTTTCCCTAGCCGCTTGTTTTGCCAGTTTGTTAGGTTTCACCTGCAAGTCTTCAAGTTTATGTAACATTAAACATAAATCATCCGCAGAGTAATCAAGATCTCTAGAAGACCCGTAAAATGTAAGATGATGCTGCAGGATTGGACTTCACCGACCCCTAGATTAGAAATAGGAAGTGAAGTGGTAGAGCACGCTGACCGCGTCACTTACTTGAGAAGTACCATCAGCCCCAACAGGTTGATCTCCGATGAAATCTCAGCACGAATACAGAGGGCTAGGTTCGCATATGCCAGTTTACGCCGTCTCTGGCGTAGACGCGATATCCGACTATCGACCAAAGGGCGTGCGTACTGCTCAACAGTCCGCTCCGTCCTCCTTTATGGCTGTGAGACCTGGCCATTGAGAGCAGAAGGCATGAAAAGACTAGCTGTGTTCGATCATAAGTGTCTGCGTTCCATCTCCTGCGTGAAGTGGTATGATAACGTGAGCAATATTGAGGTTAGGTGTCGAGTGCTAGGTAAAGAGGGGAAATCAATCGATGAGACTGTGAAATTACATCGACTGAGATGGTTGGGACATGTGTTACGCATGCCTAGTCATCGCCTTCCTCGACGGGATATGTTAGCTGATATAGGGCCAGGCTGGAAAAGAGCTAGCGGCGGTCAAACCAAAACTTGGCACCAGTCAATGAAATCTACAACAGTTAGTCTAAGTCACGTAGGGAGATGTAGACTTCCTGGTTGGGGCCCACGGGACGGTGAAAACCAATGGTTGGAAACAATTGGTGACATGGCTCAAAATCGTTCTCAGTGGCGCAGATGCATCCACTCCTTGTGACTTATGATTTCCGATGAAACTGTTCGTTCTTCGTTATTACTATTCCTTTGTCTCACACCTCTGTTTACTGTCTATATTATGCATTTCTCCTACTTTCTTCTCTTCCTTTGTGTGCTACATGGAGTGTGGTGACTTGAACTGCCGCACATCAGTGCAAAGTTCTATGTCGAAAACAGACAGACAGACAGACACACAGACAGAATAATGTTGTATTCATAGCATCTAAAGACATCAAAATTATCACAATACTTAAATCATACACTCGTATTAAGGTTAAGTTTAGCCCTTTTGCAATTACTTCCCCTTTTTGAAATTAACGGATAAACTGCTTTTACTCAACCTCGAACCTTCCCTGGAGAGCTGTAATGACCCCAAACACTGTATATAGACAGGGCAGAAATGTACTTTAGATGCTGTTGCTGACTTACATCATAATATTGTTTCCTGTTTAGACAAAGGAACCAAATATGTCCAAAATACCTACCAAGACAACAAATCTGCTTTTGACCCTGTGCCCAGGATACCTTTTTTTATATTCACTTTCCCTGACAAAGACCGAGAAGTCGTGAGCTGTTAACTGGTTGCATTCTTATTTCTCGAATGGAATGCAGCATAATGTATGTGAAGGTCAATCTTCCTCTGCCTTGCTTACCGAAGCCGGTGTCTCATCAAGGTACTGTCCTCTCGCCTCTTTTATATATAAAGAATATTGTGAGCTAGTTGTGTTCTCTGAGCTGGATGGTTTATTTGAGAAGCTTTCATTGCCCCCTCTACCAGGCAACATGTTCAGCGCATACTTCAATTTACTGAAGTGAGCTTGTAGATTTTTAAGTCATTTCTAAGTCATCTTTTCTGGTGACCTTGACCGTGAGTGGTTGTTTCTATATGTTTTCACACCCTCTAGTCTGCTTGTGGTATTGGTACTGACTGTTTCCTTGACCTGAAGTTTGACTCTTTATGTATGAGATTTTCTTCTTATAGATTGATAAATTTTGTCTATGTCTATGGGCCTATTAAGTGACGATGCATGAAGAATTCAAATAAATTCATTTCATGCTGAAACCTGAACTGAATTGATGTTGTCTAGAAGGGGGACAAGGAAAGCTACGCAATTAAATCAACCAAGTAGATCAGAGAACATAACTAAATAAAATTCTAAAAAATACACACCTCCTGAACAGAACTATACCCCACCTCTGTTGTCAAATCGAGAATCGGGAAGGCGAGAAACACATTCATCAACCTGAAACCAATCTGGAAATCTTCGTCACTCAACATCAACAACAAAATTCGGATTTTCAACACAAACGTCAAGTGAGTCAGTTCTTCTATACGGATGGATCAGAAACTTGGCGGGTCACAAAGGATATTTCCAACAGCCTGTTGCAGACCTTTATCAGCAACTGTCTTCTTCGCTCTATACTAAAGAATCACCAACAAGAAACTATGGGAACAAACAAAACAGGAACCAATCGCTCACCAAATATGCAGGAGAAAGTAGAGATGGATTGGACACTCGTTGAGGAGGCCGCTGGGTGACATCGCACGTCAGGTCAGTGCTCGAGTGGAACCCGAAAGGGAAGCGGCGAGTGGGACGTCAGTGCAAGAGTGACATGAAGGAGATCGTGTGAGGAGGAGATGAAACAGTATGGACTAACATGGATGCAGGTGGAAAGTACGGTAGAAGACAGAAGCAAGTGGAGACGTGCAGTTGAAGCCCTATGTTCCACTAGGAACCCAAGGGAATAATAATAATAAAAAAGAGACATACATAAACTCATTCTTATAATAACTAACCTGTTCATCAGTATCAGAGAGTAAATACGTCTTCTCATCATCTGGTGAATTGAGTAATTGAGACAGTGAATGTGAGTCATCTTCATTTAAACATTCACATTGACTTTTTGACAGGAGTATATCTAATTCAAGCTGTTTACATGTGTAAAAGAAAATACCAAAAAATATAAAAATATGGTGAGCGAAAATGAAGAGAGAAAGACAATTCAACTAAGTAACCAAAATATATAATAGAATAGATCACGAGTTGACATAAGCAGCTAGAGAACCACTGGAAAACCCATCAGGGGAATACTGGACAACTGTTTCCTCAGCCTGGTTGCGAACTCTTCAGCAGGTTGTACGCACCCAACACTGGGGTTCGAATCCAGGACCTTACGGTTACAAGGCAGATTGATTACGTGCTGATATCAGTTACAGTACCATTGAGAAACCAGCTGGAGTGTCGGATAATGATTTCGTCCTAGTTCGACACTCTTCATCGGTACTCACCCACCACAGAGATTTGGATCCAGGACCTTCCGGTTACAAGGCGAGCTCGTAGACCATTAAGCCATTGGGACACGACCCAATAGCCCATGAATTCCAACTTCTGCAAATTTGTGGACCATTCGGTCGTGTCCAAGTGACTTAATGGTCTACGAGCTCACCTTGTAACCGGAAGGACCTGGATCCAAATCTCGGTGGTGGGTGAGTACCGATGAAGAGTGTCAAACTAGGACGAAATCATTATCCGACACTCCAGCTGGTTTCTCAATGATACTGTAACTGATATCAGCACGTGATCAATCCTGTAGTCAATCGAATCGCTGTAAACCAACACTTGATTAAAAAAAAATATTAATATCTAGTCAGTCCCACTCATGTATATAAATGAAGGAAAAAAGTTGTGTGAGTGAGTGACTTGATATGAGTATGAGTGGCAATAGTTTGTGCTCGAAAGGTGGTCATCAGTTAATATTACTGTATAACAAACACTGTATGACTTATCAAAATAAAATCTTATCCATAATGAGAGAGTTGTTCTCTACAGACAGAAAGATGGAATTGTCATGGGATATTCTATCCTCGTGGTCCACTTTTGGAAGACAGCACCTTAAAATCAATAATAAACAAATTACTACTGTACAAAAGGTATATCGACGGCACTTTTGCAGTCTGTCAGGATGTCTTAGATTTAAACTGTATCTTACAAGAATTCAAGAATTCCCACCCTTCAATTAAATTCACAAAGGAGTTAGAAAATGAATCGAAGATTCCATTTCTCGATGTAGAACTGACAAGAACAGATGATGCAATGGCCAACTGGCGAACTTCAACAGTTAGATACCTGTGAGTTGAAAAAGAGCTCTCATTATCTTATTGACTCATCGTATCAGAAGGACTTGAAACAATGACTGCTTAGAAGAAGAGCTCTTCTTTCTCAAAATGAATACACCCGGCACCTCTCGTGCAACCAAAGCCAAAAAGAGAGGAATGCACTTCAATACCAGAGAAAATACTGCAGTATGAATCTGAACCTCAGGGGAGATTTAGTGGCAGATATTCTACAGAGGGGAATCTCCATTCCCCTAAAGACCTTTCCTGCAGCTAGGCACGTAGGTCGTTCTATGCGCGCATGTTTTCAAAACATATTAGAGAACATCACCCAGCATGGCTGCAAAGATAAGGTATTGGTTCAATCCGAAGTACCATAACTGAACGCCACGTCAACACCTGTGACAACATCTCAACTAACTACTCATCCATTATTCAGAGTCATTTATGAAGTAAACAAAAATCAACCAAAGGCATTGTGTGTTTCCGAATTCTTTGTACTACTGCAGAAGCCCTTTCTGTATGTATCGAGAAGATGGAGCTATATGTTCAAAAGGCAGTAGCCAAACCTCTATATTTACCATGGATCTAGTTTGGTTTGACTCTTTAGTTCCCGTGTTTCTTTCATATCAGATAAGTGATGCAGTATTAACAAGTGGATGACAAGGTTTCGAGCATAAATTATTGCTACTCATAATCAATATCAATCTAGTCACATGTTTTCACATTTTATCTTATATATTTTTTCTCTCTTTCTGTCTCTCCGACGCGTTGCGTCATTCCGATTGATGCATGTGTGCGGAGTTGAATCGATAAACAAAGCTTTAGTGACTAACCTCTCTCTCTCCACCTAACTATATCACTTTTTAATACTCCCAGCCTATTGTGTGATGATCACATGGAAGTGAGTGCAATGCAATGACTGAGCTATATATTTTTTTTTCTAGGTTATTTAACTTATTAGGGTCAATTATTCTGAGTCTAGCTAGATTTTTATGTTCCAACAGTCTAGTGGACCTCGATCTACTAGTGGTTTGACCTGTGTAATTGACCTCAATAACAGTGATTACACGGTCTTTAGTAAATTATATTATTTTTCTTAATTGGATTTATTGGGTTCTTACGCTGACAAAGTTTATCTTTGAGAGAGTTGGATGGTTGGTTGGTTTAAATGCCACCCGAATTCCAGCGCCATTCAGAATTCTACTTAAGACCTCTGACGTTCCTTCTTTATACAACAGTGCTACAGAGGCTTTGAATTCTATATGATTTTCGTGTTACGCAACTACTTTCTAATCTCGTATAGTTTCTTCTACTAAGCCTCTTGTAGTTTATATTCACACACCTACGAACTTTCATATCAAGCTAAAAATTACCATCATCTTTAATCTCCTCCTTCGTTACTATGTGGAGTTAAATAATAATAATAAAGTTGTTATGTTCGCCCAACAAGGTAGAGGAAGAATTAAGCTTTGTTGAAAAATACCTTAAGGAAAACGGGTATCCAAAAGGATTTATCCTAAAGTACAGCTAAGAAAGAGATGAGAAAGAGAAGTATCCAACAGTTGAAAAGAAGAAAGCATTCATTTGCCTCCCATACAAAGGAGAAACAGTATCGCAAAAGATTGAAAAGAGGATGAAAGGAGCAATAAAGAGAAGTTTCCCTGCAGAGAAGCTGGTGACACTATATACAGCACTACATGCTCTATAAGCCAATCAAAACTGGATAAGTACCCTGCTGATGTTACCTCCAAATGCATTTATAAATTTACGTGCATCTGCGGCAGCAAATACATTGGAAGGACAGAAAGAAGGGCCTATATCCGGTTTTCTGAGCATATTCTGAGAAACTTATGCTTAAAAGGAAGCATATATCTACAAAATGCAATTACCAGAAACTTTGTGAATACGGGCCATTTCGTCGAGATTTCCAAATCCTCCAAAATATTAAACATACAAAGGACAGCGAATCTACTACGATTTACTGCTGAAACTGTTGCAATCAAACGTCTCAGACCAAACTTATGCACACAGACAGAGAGAGTGCAGTCAATCTCTCACTCCCTTGGTAACGATATCACTTTCATTACACTGGTTAGTCATACACACTAGTGAGCTCAGCTCACTAAGCAAGTTTTCAAATTGATGAACTTTAACCTTCTTGAGTTTCCATGTTGACATACAAGCTAACACTGTTTATTAGATTTTTCTGTTTTCTGTCTTCTCTCACCCTCCTTCCTTTTTTTTCATAGTTTGATAACATATAAATTGATCGTAACTTAAACTGTAAATTGTAATACTTATATTCCGGATATGTTCATCTTATAATGTCTTCTCTATTACCTTTCAAACATTGAAGTATGAAATCTTATTATTTATAACCGTTGTAATTTCAGGTAGTTTGCAGCTGAAGAGAACCTGTGAAATAGAATGATATCATTTTATACTGCATATCTGGTCTTCCTTTCTCTATCGAAATTTATCAAGGGAACCAAATGTATGAAATAATAGTTGTATCTGTGTGAACTTATGTATGTAAATGCGATTGTACAGTTGTGCTTAGGGAATGAAATTGCTGAACTTCTTGTCCTTTTCTCTCTAATATATCCACAGATGGGTTTTTTTTTATACGATTTGAAAATTTAATACGATAAAAAGAAAAAAAAGGATGAAAAATACCTACTTGTTTGGAAGACTGTGTACTTTTTTGTGAACCACCCTCCTGTGAATCTGGTGCAGCAGTAGCAAGCTCTTGAACTTTATCTCTTAACTTTTGAGCAGATGCACCTGTAATACGATCGATTGGTAAAGTGCCACGTAAAAATACAAATGTAGGCAATGATCGAACATTGTACTGTTGTGCAACATCCTAAGAAATAATTACAAAATAAAGTTATGGAGGTATAATGGAGAAGATTTGTAGTTCAGGTGAGATGATTTTGATGTAGTTGTATTCACTGAGCTGGATAGCTTAGTTGAGAAGTACTGCTGACGACGGTGAGTTGCCCAGAGCAAGGTAATGAAAGCATCGCATGTAAACCAATCAGCTCAGATAACACGACTACACCGAAATAAAATAAAGTAGAACACAACATTTAAATATACCACACATCTGAAGTGATGACAACCAGTGGTGTCCGTCAGGAATGCCCAATGTCCCCATTTCTGTTTAATTTCATCACTGGTGTACTAAGGGACTTAACCCTAACCAGTTAGGGATTGATTTGTCACCAGGAAACCGTCTTATTGACTTTGAATATGCGCATGATGAAATTCTCCTAGGTGAAGACGCTGGTAAAATTCAGAATCTTCTGAACACCTTGAGGAGCGGGAATATTCAAATATAAGCATGTGATTTGTTCCTGTCAAATATTGGGGGATGCTACAGGACTGGAGTACATCAACTCCTAGTTTGGAGATAGAGTGAAGTGGTAGAGTGTGTTGACCATTTCCCTTATTTGGGAATTTGCGTCAGTCCCAGCGCGTTGACTGCTGACGAAACCTCAACATGGATACAGAAGGCTCGTTTGGTATTTGCCAACTTACGCCGTCTCTGGAGTAGACGTGATATTCGGCTGGCTATCGATCAAAGGACGTGTATACTGCTCAGCTGTAGTTCGCTCTGTCCTTTATGGCTAGCTGTGAGAAATAGTCATTGAAAACGGAAGACATGAAAAGGCTAGGTATCTGTTATCAAAAGGTGTCTGCGTTCTATTTCCCATGTTAGGTGGCATAATAGAATGAGAAGTATTGAGGTTCGGTGTCTAGTGGTAGATGCGAATATGTGTAACGCATGCCTAACTATTGCCTTTCTGTACGGGAAATGTTAGCTGACATAGGATGGATCAGGTCTGAAAAGATCTCTAGTGGTGGCCGTAGGTAGGTGTAGACTGGCTTCCTGATTGGTTGGGTTCCTCGGGATGGTGGGTACCAATGAAGGCTGGAGACAATTGGTGATATGACTGGCTCAAAATCGTTGTCAATGGCTGGGGCACATGCATTCACTCTTTATGATTTGTCGGTCATATCCAATAAAACTCTATTGTTCTTCCCTTTCACTATTATTTTTCCTTCCCACTTCTGTTTATTATCTCTGTTTCGACGCATCTATCTTTACTCCCTTCTCTTGCTTTGTATGCTACATGGAGGGAGTGTGGCTATTCGAACTGGTGTACATATGTGAAAAGTTCTCTGTCGAAAGCAGTCAGTCAGTCACTACTGTAAGAAAACTAACAGGAGTACACAGCATTAGGCTGTTATGAGTTTTTATTCTAATAAATACAATATTATCACCATTGTAACATATAATCAGTTTCTCTATACTCATCTTTGCTACTCTGCAGACTTAAGCCTTATAAAATGCTTCCTTAAAGCCAAGTGAAATAATAGCCTCTACGACGGAAGTACTATTTGATATTTTAATGTGTCAGTGAACAATTTCACAGAAATGAAAACGAAGAGTATTGAAGTGACTGATTCTTTACTATAGAACTTTACACAGAGACAAATCCCGCCTTCAAGTGAAGAAATACGGCAATTGTTAGACGCTGGTAAGTATGCTTGCATTTCCTAATCTGTCGAAGGGTGAGTATATATGATCAATACATCATCTTCCTGCCTGGTTTCCTCGGGTTTGTTTCTCTCGAGCACCACTTAATATACACGTGAAACTACATGTCCTAGCCGCCCCGATCAATGAAGCTTCACAACCACCACATCGACTGACTATCCTTCCTTAATCAACAATCTACTTCTAACGTTAATAACGCCCAACATATTATGTTACTTAACGCGAGAAAACCGAACACAAACACTTATGGTGAAAGTCAGTTCCTAAAAGTTTTCGACTTTTACCGACCATATCTCACAGTCAGTATTCGCGGAAACATCAAACACCAGGAGAATTAGAAACTTGGATTTGTACAAAGCAAAAAAACGTCAGCTGGCGTTGTGACCTGTCAATGATACTCTTGAGCTCAAGGGTTTCCACTTTAAATAACTATTGACACTGACTTAACTCTCTGAACTAATACCAAGTGGTACAAACTCAAATCGCCTAATAGTGATTGTTTCAAAGAAGTCAAATAATAAACACTTAACATTTACCTCAAGTTTATCAACATCAATTTTGAGGAATTTCATTTTCGTGTACCTAGTACTTAATTCTTTAAAGATGGGTGCTATTTCAGAACAAGGATGGCACCATGTAGCATAGAAATCTATAACTACAATAGCTGGACCATTGGCAACATTTGCTGCCTCTTGTAAAATTTGTTCAAGTTGTTCTTTATCAGCAACGTTGATCACAGTAGCCATTGGGATAAGTGGGTCTGTGAAATATAAAAATCAAAGTTATGTATACAAAGATACTTGTGAAAAGCAAACATATTTTAACACTAGTTAACGATAATCATGTATGAAATAATGAAACACATTTAGAAAGCGCTGAGGAGCAGCTATCTTATTTGTCTGATGGGATGAAAGAACAGTTGCACGAACTGATCATCTCCTGAGCATCTAATACAGTCATAACTAATGTCATTTCATATTAGTTTGTTTATTAGGTATATCACACAGTGATGAAACAGTATTATTTACTGGATGACGTTTCGAACAAAATTTATTGCCGTTCATAATCATATCAATTGTAATCACACGATTTCAAAACTTGAGTTTTATAGTTTTCTTTGTCTTCTATTTGTCGTAGGGGTAGATATCCGGATGAGATTTCCAACCGTATAATGAAAGCTAGGGTGGCATACATCAACTTGAGCCACATCTGGCGCCGTCGCGACGTTAGCATGGCTGTCAAAGGTCGGGTATACAATGCTTCGGTGCGGGCTGCGCTGCTCTACGCCTGTGAAACCTGGCCTCTCCGAGCTGAGGATGTGAGGCAACTCTGCGTGTTCGATCACCGCTGTCTCCGCAGGATTGCTTGCGTTCGATGGCATCATCACGTGAGTAATTCTGAGGTTCGGCGGCGTGTGTTTGAACACAGTGGAGATCACCATTCATTGAGTGTCGTCATCTGGAAACACCAGCTCCGGTGGCTTGGACATGTGCTGCGAATGTCACCCCAGAGGCTTCCGTACAGGTCCCTGTTCGCTAGCCCTGGGACGGGATGGAAAAGGCGGAGAGGTGGTCAGCCCATGACGTGGCGTCGTGGGATGAAGGATTTCTGTGCTAGATTAGCATCGGTTGGTGTGTCACGACTCCCTGGTTGGGGTCTGAGAGATAGCTCAAATCGATGGCTCGAAACGTTATCGGATATGGCCAAGAATCGTAATCAATGGCGAATGTGTTGCGATTTCCTTCTTTCTTCCATTCCCGATGATAGTTAACGAACACTGTTTGAACCTGTTAAGAATGAGTGTTTTCCTTCCAGATGAAGTTCTTTATTCGTTCTCTACTTATATATATTTTTTCTTTTCCTGCCTTCCTTTCTTTTTCATATATGTTGTTTTATTATTATTGTGTGGCGCATCCTTCTTGGTGCCATATTGTACCAAGTTTTAATGCGTTTAAATAAATAAATAAATAAAATAAAACTCAAGTTTTGAAATCGTGTGATTACAATTAATATGATTATGAACGGCAATAAATTTTGTTCGAAACGTCATCCAGTAAATAATACTGTTTCACTGTGCGATACATCTAATAAACAAATTAATATGGAATTACTATCACAGTGTCCAAGTTTTACACATATAATAACTAATGTGAGTTGAAGATCAACGGTTCTCTTTTAACCCTATCAAGACCACATTTCTTTATATAAAAGTGTACCATAGCTTATCAGTATTGTAAAAATTCGGCTCACCAAAAATAAACTAGCACTATATATAACAAGACATACTTAATGACCTGCAACAGGAAGTGGATTTGATAAGACGGCTTGATTTATCTGTATTTTAACTCGAATCGATAGCACACAATCAAAAACTTCAGGAATGTGGTGTCATTCGACAGAAATGTTGGTGTCTGACAAACAAACTAATTCCCGTTGAAGATTAACAATGAAGATTACTTATGCACTCTTCTACTTAATTAGGCGGAGTATTCATATATATATTCATATCCATATTTGAAAGATTAACGAAAAGTGGTTTACATATTCTTACCAGTAAGTTGTGACAGCCGATCAAGGCCTGTGTGCTGACGAAGCAGTAAAACTTCGGATATAAAAACTAACAAATTTAAGTAATGGGCGTCTAATTTGAACGAGCTCCAGCTAAAAATAACTAGCTGTTATTTTATCGTTTATGAAGGCACGTTATAAAGAGTCCTAGGCTTAAAATTGATCTGGCTTTATACTGATTGAAATTGCATCAAAATAATAAATTACTGTTGCTAGATTGTAGTTGACTTCTTGCTGTGATCTTGACTTTTGAACACCATTTCAGCGGTAAATAAATAAGTTTAAACACATCTCACTCCCTTTCCTTTGTCGATTAAATAAACTACCTAAGTCAGTGTGACCAACGACAATTATTTTACACAATTTTCAAGTGTATAAAACGTAGCACCGTTTCAATTAAATTTTGTCTGCACCTCAAACTAAATTATAGCTATATTTCAGTAGTTTATACAGTGATAAATTTTTGTTTTTGGGGTAACAGTAAAGAATAGACATCAACTTCAGACGACCTTGAAACAGCCAATCAGATTCTTTTACGTGAAAGTGGTACTTAATTTACAAAGAAGCGTATCTGCAATATGTAATAAAAATGAATCATATAGGGTATATATCTCTAATATGCTGCAAAAACTGGTCCCGAATTCTCATAGAAGTGGTTATAGACATATCAAACCAATGTATTCTCTATTTCTCCAGCTGTAGCAAATACTGGTTGCATATACGCGATATGTTACTGAGGGAGAGCTTTGATTTCGAGACGAAAGTGTCTAAAAAAATTACCACTTATGTACGACTTACCAACTTGTACAGACTACCTCATGTAATATAGAGGTTGCATCTGAATGTATAACCATAAATAGTTCGGCAGTACTTTTGTAGAGTCATTATGCCTTTACATATGCATGTTTTATTCCTGTCTATCAACCAATTTTCCACAGAGAAGTCAAAAACCAAATCTAGGAGACATTTTCAACGAGGATTTTGATTAGCAAGCATTGGTAATGCCGAGCTATCTGATTGGTAATATTTCGAGCATCTCTAAGTGTTATACCAACTATCGTCCACTTATTATTAATATGGGTAATGTGTTATTCGATGTACATTCTATGCACAACAAACTTAGAGCAAACACTAATATGATTTCAAAGAAAACTACCAAGTACGTAACAAGCTTTTTACTAGTACTTAGCACAACAAGAAACCAACGAACTCAAATGAAATTATCAGAACAGATTGCAATTTTACTTATTGTTGAGGTTTGTTAGGATGTCACTTTTTAGAAGGGCAATCTACAAAATTCCCAGTCAAAATACTTGACTGTTACGTGTCTGTTGACCTGAGTTCAAACGGTAGTCTACCAGATTTTAGAAAACATTAGAAACTAACTTAAACTGTAAATCGACGAAACTTCCAGTCAAAAGCAATAACTACAACAACTACCGTAATGGATAGATTCACAAATAATTTTGTTTAATATGACAAAACTATACACATTTGAACTATTTTTCCACAATCATTTCGCTAAGCACAAGCATCTTTTTAGTGTATTTACTATTCAGATATTCTAACTGATTTTAATGCATCATTTGAACTAACACCAGTTGGGAATGTCACTCTTTATGTTTATCGGATATGCGAATTTCGTAGTACTATGGATCAAGGAAACAAAAACGATTGGATCGAAGACGGCCTCGTTCATATCGACACGTTTTAGAAGATACAACAACTAAACTACCTATTCATTGGTTCATACGTTGAAAACAAATTCCTACAGATACTTGAACAAGTGTGAGTTTTGTGGGCCATTTTAGCTTTGTCTTTAATGGGGATAATTAAAATTTCAATATAAGAACTAATTTCACATGTGGAGATAGGGTGGGTGACCACTCAGTAGGACGACGAATAGTAACATATGCTACAGCTATATTCGTAAAACTTCTGGAAATAATAAAAAAGCTTACAAAGATTTATCCCTGACTACTCGCAAAGACTAGTGGCTCAGAAGGTAGTCAACAACATAAGAACACTTAAATAAAGGCTGATTGTATTTGGTGTCTAGTCGACCTGAGCAAATATATTGGATTAAGTGTGTTTTAACTTTAGCTTTTTTATAATGCCAAATACTAGGTAGCCTAGAAATACGTCAAATACCATGAAACCACAATACCATATGAAGAAATCCAAACCACCCACCAGACGTCAGAATTTGAATAATTGCCAATATCCAATATTCAATTTGTAAGCCAACCAGTGTATTCTTGTTTACCTTTATTCCCACGCCTGTGGTGAGTCTCAACCCAGTCTTTAGAAAGTTATTTGATGGTTTCTCCACGGCTGATCGTGATTCCTTTAGCACATCCAATATCCAATATCCTGATTACGAGCTAGTATAAACCAGTGATTTCTTTGAGCTCGCTTCTTGATTGTAAGGTAGAGGTTCCAGATCTTCGGTGAACTTATGCGTAGTAAATCCCACCACTCGACTGCTTTAGCTCTGGTAGACTCCAAGAGGAGTGGTGCGAGGATTGGTCAAGATGTGGTTTGTAGTGTGCAGTATGTTAGGACTCAGTTGCTGCCGTGAATGGAGTTTGACCTAACACCCGTTGGTCATTCGGTGTAGTCATAAAAGCAGAATAGTAATAATAATAACAGGTTGTAGTGTAGATAATATAGGTTGAGATAAGTGAAATAATAAAAGTGAAATAATAAAGGTGACCTAAGGAAAAGATAGAGTAGTCGGTACAGTGAGAGAAGACAGAACGGGTCGTGGGGATTTAGCTTGTATGCTTATCCATTGACAGTGTGGTTTCAAATTTTAAGAGGATAAGCCATTGAGACACAAACCATGCATTTCTGCATGATTGTCCAGCTTCCGCTTAAAAGTCTCCACAGATGGCGCTGTAGTCACGGCCGCCGGTAAAGCGTTCCAGAGACGGCAAACTCGAAGCGAAAAGAAATGTGAACGCACTCGAGTCTTTGGTCTCTGCTGTGCTATCCTTAGCGGGCTACCTCGTGGAAGCCTATAATCACTTAATGGCAGGATGCTCTTATTAGGGTGGGCCTGGTCATTTAAGATCTTATGGACGGTGATGAGGTCTCCCCTGTGACTACGGTAACTAAGTGTGAAAAGATTTAATTTCTTCAGTCTTTCCTCATATGATTTGTTGAGGAGGCCGATCACACATTTTGTCGCTCGTCTCTGGACACTTTCTAGAATTTTAGCATCCCTTTTGAGTAGCGGAGGAGCAATGATATTATGCACCTCAAGGAGTGGCCTCACGTATGTCGTATACAACGTTAAGAATAGTTCGGGAGTAAGAGCTCCCAGCTGCCTATGCATAAAGTGTAAAGTTGCGTAAGCTTTGGCGACGTCCCTCGTGTAATTTACACTGGTGTCTAGCTTTTCTGTTAAAATAAGACCTAGGTCGCGTTCTGATGGCACACAACTCAAGTTCTGGCCACCAAGGGTGTAATTTACACTCTGTGACCTACCGGAATGAAGTTGCACTACTTTGCACTTCTTTGGGTTGAAAGGCATTCCGTTAGCCAGAGCCCAGTCCCGCAGAGTTTGCAGGTCAGCCTGCAATCTGTCAGAGTCTTCCGATGAGTTTATTGCTCTCCAAATCTTTACGTCGTCAGCCTAAAGAAGTGCAGAGCAGTTCAGTTGGCAGGGCAAGTCGTAGATAGAACCCTGAGGAACCCCTGATTCCGAGGTGTGCCAGGATGATCGGATGCGGTTGACTTTGGTGCAGAATTCTCTCTCGCCTAAATAATCTTTCAGCCATGCAAGAAGTGCTCCAGAAACACCCGCCTTGCTTATTTTGTGGAGGAGCAGACCATGGTGAACTGTGTCGAATGCTTTCGCAAAGTCGAGAAAGATCACATGGACTGGTACCTTTACATCCCAGGATAGTGTCCAATCGTTCCAAGCTAGTAGAAGATTCGTCACACAGGATCTTCCCCTCCTGAAACCGTGCTGTGTTTCATGGAGAAGGTTAGTCCCGTCGAAGTATTTTCTCATGTGGTCGTCAATGAGACTTTCCAATATCTTCGATATCACTGGGAGTAGCGCAACTGGTCTGTAACTGGTCGCGTTCTGCCGGTCACCACCCTTGAAGATAGGGGATAGGGTAGCTCGTTTCCACTCACATGGAAGTTTCCCTACATCAAAGGAGTGTTGAAACAGATCGCTTAGGGGTCGGCAGAGACTTTCTGAACACTGCTTCAGGACGGATGGTCTTATGGCTTCGCAATCTGCGGACTTTCCCGAAGCCAACTTTCCCAATTTTACGAGTACCATAGCCGAGGTAATTTTAAATGTACCCAGCAGGTTTTCGCACGTTGGTTTTGCATTGTAATCTTGATGTTTTGCTGGGGCGAAATCCTCGTTACTGTTCAGTTGCCTGTGAAAGGCTGGACTGAATGTCTCTGCCATTTCAAGACTAGTAAGAGATTTCCCATCAGAACCCACTAGATTGCAAGCTCCCTGGTTGGTCGGTTTTCTTTCAGACATAAACCTGTATAGGCTTTTGGGGTTCACGAGAAGCTTATTGGCGAGGTTTCTCTGAAATATCCTTCTATCACTCCGGACTCGTATGTTACATCGATTCCTGAGTTCAAGGTACACTTCATGTTCGGGTTGACTCTTCGATAGTCGCCACGCAAACCAAGCTTTTCGTTTTGCCTGCAGAAGGCGTTGTTTCCCCCTTTTTAGCCATGAACGTTGCTTCCTAGCTTTTGGTGTGACTAAAGGAACAGTGTCTGAGACCGCCTGGTGAATGATCTCCTTTACCGCTCCCCAGTGTTCTTCTACTGTAAGCCCTGTCCAATTTTTTGGCCAATTTGCTTCAGACAAAAGTCTTCGCATTTTGGCGTAATTGGCTTTGTTATAACACAGATAGGGCTGTGTATTGTCCCACTGTAAACGCTCACGGAGGACTGTGTCGAATGTTATGACCTATGGGAGTCGTGATCTGAACGTTTACCACCAGTAGCTGGTCACTAGTGAGCACATAATCCAGTCTAGAAGACTTCCCGTCTGGGCCCCATCTAGTATCCATTCTGACATTTTCAGTGAATCCGGCCTCCCTGATGGTGTGCAGCAGATTTCGATCAAATCTATCATGGGCATATCCCGTCATCAAGTTAAGAGGTGGGGCATTGAAGTCTCCAGCTATGACAATTTGATCATAACCCATATCTTGTGTCGCTGAAATTGCATTCAGCAGTTCCTGGTTGTGGTCTGCTCCACATGAAGGTGATCTATAAATGCTGCCCACCGGATACTTACAGTACCCAACGGTGAAATGGCACCATATGGAGTCAGGGAGCTCAATGAGGGGAAGGTCGATTGCATGGACACATCTGAGCTGTTTGTCGACGTATATGGCGACTCCACCTCCTTCTTTCAGATCCCTATCTCGCCTGACTAGGACCATATCATTTATACTGACTTCGCTGTCTGCCACCGTAGGGGTTAGCCAGGTTTCCGTCAGTATTATGATTTTGGAGTTCAGCCGTGATTGTAGGTATCTAAGTTCAGCTATTTTGCTTCTTAGCCCTCTCACATTACTGTACAGGCAACTGGTAGTCAGTTTCACCACGTCCCCGTATTGGGGGGGGTTGACGTGATGTGGGCTGTCGGTTGAGGAATTATCCTACGTACTAGTTGGCCGATTCCTCGGGAACCGGCCTGTTGGCGTTTTTTTCTTCTGGTTCAATCAGAGCACTTGGATGACACTGGCTATCATCGTCCGTGCTGCACCGCTATATTGTGACTTGGGGTTGGGGATGTTCTTTGACAACGTTTTGTTCTCTCCTTTGGGTACGAGGATGGCTCTCACAGCAGCGAATGTGTCTGCTGACCTTGTCCTTGGTCTTGTACCATCTCTGGAGAGCAGTAGTCAAGTGGTCTCGGGAGCTGAACTTGACAGCTAACAGACGTGGCGTGTTAATTGACATAAAGTGAGTGGATCGAGGCAGTCTATAAATAGAGACAGCCCCTGAACTTCCCAGAGCCATCTGGGATGCCAACCATCTCCATTGCTGTACATCGTGACAGTGCTTCTCATAAGCGTTCCCAGTTACCAGTTCAGGAATGTCGTGAACAACCATGGAGGCAGAAGGAATAAGCTCTGGCGACTCCCTCGCCACCCGTCTTTCCTTCCATGGCCTATCTGGCCTAACATGTATATTGCACGTCCTCCCTATAAAAAGGACTTGAGAAGTCAGTAAAACTTTTTTGGCATCCTCGGTAGAGCCCAGTGTTACCCTCAGTGGGGATGCATAGTTTTACTAGTTGGATGTCCAGACCCAGTGTGCTACATAAGTTGGACCACTGTTCCTGATCAAACAGAGCCCTGTTTTCCAGCAGACTACTGCTACAGTCTGGTACATTAAAGAGGATTACGCAGTTTGATCTACTAACCGTGGATTTAGGTTCGGTCCTCGCACATTTGTCATTCCCTTTAAGACCGTTTTGTTTCGTCTGGTGCGACTGGATATTATTGTGTGTCGCAGTGCCGTGGCCACTATTACTGGTGGACGGTAAGGGTCTTTTCCCGGCGACAGATACTCCTGGCGCTTCAGCCTCTGTGTCTGGGGCAGGAATTGCAAGTTTAACCGGTGTGGATTTTGGTATCACCAATTCACGTGCAATTGTGATGTTTTCCGAGTTGATGGGAGTAAAACGTTTCACGTTTTCCCTGATACCTCTATGCCATCTTTAGCTTTCGAGGAACTACACGAGGCTGCATCAGTACGGCAACTTGGGCATATGTACCAGAACCATGGGCATGGATTCTTACGCATAAAATCGTAATATACTTTTGGTACCCCGGTGTCACATCTACAATGTACCCATTGCTTGCAAAAGTTGCATTCGAAGGCAGAGTCTGCTTGTTCGACAACAGAATCGCAGACCTTGCAATCGTCTGCCTTTTGGGGGAACGTTTTTGTCGTCTTGCGACGTCGTGAACGTTTCTTATTGGCCTTCCTGTTTGTTTCAAGGCCTACTATGGAGATGGGTGTTATACTATTCTCACTTTGTGCAGATTTACCACTTGGCTCTATTAACCTAGTCGTGTTAACAGGGATGGAGCCACATCCGCTTAGTTGACTTTTCACAGTTTCACTGTAGGACTGTGGTGACATGGGCAATCTGTCCACGCAGGGAATATTTACCCTGGTCTTCAAGACCGGTATGCGAGAGTCCATCACCTTCACCTGTTTGTCTAATT